CTCGAGGAAGCCGCCGCTCGTGCCGCTCCTGCCCATGCCGGCACCCATTCCTCTCCTTCACCGGCTTCCTCCTAACTCGACCACCGTTTCCTCCCCTCTAACCCTCCTTCTTCGCCTTCTTCCCTTTTCTTTTATCTATCATTTAGATTTCTCCGTCTTTTTCCTTCAAAATCAATCCTCGATATCCGATCGGTCTCCTCTCGCACCTCTGCCGCTCTATTCTATCCACCACTTTCTCTTCCTTCGATATCTCGGATTAATAATCCTCCGTCCTTCGTCTCAACGACCGCGTTCTTCCTCTTGAAAATTCTCTTCTTCTACTTCATGCTGGATTTAACTGACACTCAGGAGGACCACCAGTGTTCCCTTGTCCGGCAGCCGAATTTCTCTCTCTCCCTTTCTTCCTTGTGCACGATCCACCGCGTCGCTGCACCGCCTTTATTCCATGCTAGCTCGGTAATCTGGCCGTCTAGTTTTCAGCCTTTCGTTTTATCTCTCTTGAACCAACCCGGTTCTTCTCGTTCCTGCCTTCTTCGTCCCTTATATCCTTCGCGTGGATGATGCTGGTTTGACTCGCGTCTCTGGGCCAACGTGGACGATCGGGGAGAGAAAGAGAAAGACAGAGAGAGGGAGGCTCTCCTCCGCTTTCGATGCTCGTCCCCGCCGTAAAAGGACTCGCTTCGAGGCCACGATCACTACCGCACCGGCTGAAAATGAAAGGAGAAACGTGTTAGCGATGCCTGCTGGCTACATCGGCCGCGCTTTTCACATCTCGTCTTTTTGCCCGTTTTTTTCTTTTTTTTCTTTTTCTTGCCTTTTTTCATTGCCCTGTCTCGATAGATCTCGAGCATGCCCCGGGTATTTTGCTCGACTACGGAGATACAGGAATTTTAACAGCGGAATCACCGTCGATTAGACGGTACTCCTGTTTGTACGGTAGAACCTCGATAATTTGGGAAGCTCGAGAACCTCCGCACGTATCGAGATTTCGTTCGTTTTCTTCGGATCCGCTGTGAAAACCTCTATAAATCGAGATGCCAGCCCGCTTTGTCTCGATTTATTCGTCACGCGCTTAAGCGCGTCGCTTTACAAGCAGCTCGATCTCTGCACGCTCCAGCTTATCTCCATAGGGAAACTTAACACTAATCTTATCAGGCTCGGTCGAATGACCGGTTTTCAAATTTCATTTAAAATTGTACAGTCATTGAGACTTCTTTTGTCCGTCTAATTTTACGCAAATTATTCTATTAAAAAAAGTCGAGAAATTGATTAATCAGATGATATGGGAATTTACGTGGAACTGATAACAAAGTGACGTCGAATCGATACGATTAAACAAATTTAACACGAGCAGAAGACATTTATGTTCGTAATTCATGTAGTCCAAGTCCGATTTTTTAAATAAATAAATATATACACATACGTGCAATTAAAAGACGATGGGATCTATGCAAATTCTGCAAGCCTTCGATTTTCCAACCTAATCTGTCTCTTGCTGCGGAAACATCGATGTAATAAAGAGAATGAAATTCCCGGAAGAAGACACGAGCAGAGCGTGACAAACCCATTCTTCTCGATCTCTCAATTTGCAACAAGTCTGATTAGGTTCGCGAATATAAGTTTCTCGAAGGCAGAAGATAAATCTACGAAGCTTCACGAACGATCAAATACAGAATCGTGTTCGAAATATCGCAATTAATAGAAATAAATTCCACAATCAATTAAAAGGACAATCTCGATAACATAGGGTCGACCGCGTTTCAACGTTGCTTATCGTGATTTCTGCCTGTGGTCGTCAGCTTTGCGCGCTAATTTTTCTTTTCCACGCTAATCGCACCGTGTCAAATTGCCGTAAGCATGGAACGAGGGTTAACGAGCGAGAGACGAAGAAGGATCGAGACACGATTCGCGCTATTCCTCGCAACGATCGATCAAATTGTTAAATGATTGGCATAATTGCGGAGTATAGCACGGACTAACTACGCCAGATAAGAGTCAATTAATAGCGCGATTTAAGAAGGGCGCCGTTCACTGGCAGTACGCTGTTGGCAAAAGAAAAAGAAAGAAGAAAGAAGAAAGAAGAAAAAAGGATGGCGAGAACGCGACTAACCTTGGCAATAAGGAATACAAATCTAACCACTCGACATGCAAATCCGCCGGCTGAATATTCCAGTTCCACGAGGCGTGATTAATCTCCTTCCACCAGGCGGCAAACTTTATGGATAACACTACGGTTACGGTTGCAGGCTACGGAGAATTCTGGGGCCAAGCCATTAAACGTGTAATGTGCATATTGCGCGCCTTGTGACACACAGCAGAAATTTCGCCATGGCGGCGCGACGCTCTAAAACCCGAAGACGCGCCTTCTCGATGCTTGCAAAGTGTCGGCTAACCGTTCTAAACTTTATTTAGCTTAGCCCTTAACTGGTTAGCTGTTACTGCCTCAAAGAAAAGCGTGTATTTAGAATGTGTGGCGAAAAGTAAGCGACGACGAGTATACTCGTCAAATACATAGTATATTGCAATACAGAATTAAGTTGTAACGAGACGACTGTTTTCTATTTTTTCATTTTATTATCGCAATTTACTGCAATTAGTAAATTGCAATTCGAACGAAGCGACGAGTATACTCGACGTAAGACAGAATATTGCCATTTCTTCGTGACGAGTATACTCGTCAAACGCATAGTATGCGCGGCTGTTGCAATATAGAATTAAGTCGTAATGAAACGACTGTTTTATTCTTTCATTTTATTACCATTTCTTCATGACGAGTATACTCGTCAGAAACAGCTAACTGGTTAAACCTAACGATCGGCTTCTTCCGATTCCGTGTCCGAAGATCGAATTAACCGCTTAAAGAGGACCGTAAAATAAGAATGGAAGAAAATCAGCGCTTCGATCAGAAGCAGAAAAATCCGCGGGAAAATTCGATATGTGCTTGTATCAATAGATGTTAATAATACGTGTTGATGTAATAACCGTGTGTAATAATATGAGCAGAAAGGAAAGGAACGTAATGTCTCGCCTAAGGACTGCGCGCACCAAAATAACCCACGAATAATTACCTGGCTAATTAAAAGAGCATAGCAGCCTTACTATAATATATGCCGTAACCAGCAATTAACGTCCACATACTCTGCGAATGTAGATATAGAGAAATAGACGAACACAGAGACACGGAATAGAACCTGATACAGCCCTAACATCGCGAAACTACATATCGAACGCATTAAGCTTCCTCAAAGAAATAAATGTGTACACTAAAATCTAATTGGTCTAAGTCCTAATATCGTAATGGTCGCTAATGGTCCTGTAGTTGATACGAAGGTTAAACGCGTAATAAAAAGAAAAAGAATGTGGGGACCCAGTTATTTCAAGTTACCGCTCTTAATATAGAAAACGGTGTTGCTAATTGAGAAATGGATGGCAATACCTGCAGAAATATATTTGAAAATATTACGTTTGGAAATACATATATGTGTTACAAAATAATTGTATAATTCTAAATTATACAGATTATAAGCGAAGAGCGTTTCTTTCTTTTTAAATAGTAGAAGTATAAATTTAGGATGATACAAAATTTGGAAATATTAGGTTTGAAAAATACGTGTATGTATATTTCATTGAAGGGTATTTCTTTTTTTTATGATAGAGGTGTAAGTCTTTAACGATGCTTGCTTACGCAATTCCGAAAAGCCTTCATTTACTATGGGCAAAATAATCTTCTCGGAGAAGAACGCTAGCGCTGTACAAAGTTCTTTTTGCCATGCAATGTTTGCTAGCAGATGCGAAGATGCATTAGCCACGCGTTAAATTTCTTCCACAAATTTTCGTGGTTTGATGCTTCAGTGCACATAACAGTACCTATTATCTGTCGTTTTAATAGCATTCCCTTTTTTTAAACAGTAGAAGATAAAATGTTGCATAACATAAATCAACAATTATTTCCATTATGAAAGGAAACGAAGAACGAATGTGAAGTTTGAAAATGCACGTTAATCGTGGCAAAAAGCATTTCTCTTGTTTTTTTCTCAAATACTTTTCACAATTTAGCTCAGTAAAGACTATTAGCTTTTCGCGTTTTTCCTTTCAGTTGAAGGAATTTATTACCGAAAAAAGACGAAACGTTTCATTTAACAACTAAATCTTCCTTAACTTTTTCCAACAACCTAGTAGCTTCGCTGTGAGGCGCAATTTCCCGCCAAAAATTGCAACACACCACGCTGCTCATAGTCTCGTGCGGGAGAACTCGTCCCTTTATCGAGCCAGGCGACTGTAACCTCGTTAAATTCTTTTTGGCCGAAGCAGAAACAGGGGAAACGAGACGGCGAGGCAACTTAGAGTTTTAATTCTCGTCGGACGCCGGTTATTGCACGCTTTATTCCGCTTAAAAATAGCCTGTGCTGCTCGGCTGTTTAAGCAGCAGATAAAACGAGAACATCATCGCTAGCCTCCGTGATTCCATGGTGGGCGAACATGGAGAACAGGCTCGTGCCGTGATCCTCCCTTTTGATTGTTTCTATTACCGTAATTTACGATTACCATTATTCTCGGCACCGTTTCGTCGACGCTACGCTCCGCTCCGCTCTGGATCGACTCGATACAACGTCGAAACAGCGTCGTTCACGATTTATCGGAACACCCTGTGTATCAAGTTCTTCACGCTCGTTGGAAATTTAATATGAAACTCGCTGCGACATACGTATAATATAATAATGCTATTATAAGTGTTAGGAGTACTCTCCATTGGTTATAGAGAGGAGATAAGCTTGGAAAATTGTCGGAAAATTATTGAAAGAATCACTGGCAAGAATTTTTAAGATACAATTAGGAAGGTAATTATTAGAAATTATTGAAAGAAGATCTTGAACCGTGAGCAATCTACGTATTCAATGTTGTAATAAAAATCTCATCGATCGTATATGTAACAAAATTAATAATATCAGAGTCTTCCTTAGATCAACGCTTAATTTTGTCACTCGTTTTATCGATTCTTTTCTTGCTACATATTCGTTGGTTCACATTACCCGTCTGAGCTTTCTTCTTGATGCAATTCAAATTTCTCAATGGTGTCTAGATGAGAGAATTATATCATAGACATTTTATTATCGTAGAATAATTTATTGCTGTTCTATAAAACCGTACTATTTCTGTTACAACTTCCCCATAAAATATTTATCACATTACATTTACGTATTTTCTCTTCGGTTTTATTCGCAATGTTGTAGAATTAAATAAAAATGCAAAATTCAAACAAGAGGAAGACCTAGGATATCCTCTACGTATAATTAACAATACTCCCATAGATATTTAATAATCTTCAAAGAATTAATTTTTCTATTAGATAGGTTGAAACTTGCTCGACAAATCGCAATTATATTCGATCGTTGAAAACGGAGAAATAATAAGCTATACGTGAATCGCTGCTCGTTCTGTCAGTCTCTTCCGGTCTATTGTTCCGGTCTTCCGGTGCCTAGTATGGCTTTTTTCGTCAAGTTAGGTGAATCCTTTATTCTTATTTCCGTCACGATCGAATCCACGGCTCGACTTCCGTGTTCACCACGATTCGATCGTTCGATTTCCGTGCATATACGCGTGAACAATAGAACCGTCGACTGCAGGCGAATAAAAATATTTGTCGATAGCTGATCCCGCCTTATAATAGGCGCGATCATCGAGAACGTTCTATGAATCATTTTCCACT